TTTTAAAGTTTTAAAAGGAATAAAATAAGATACTAAGGTTAATATTATATAGGCCTTCTATAAGATCTATATAATTGTAAGAAAAGAAGGGAAAATAGTTTTCCGTATATATTATAATTTATTCGAATAATTAGTAGTCCCCTTCGGTCTATTTAAGGCCCTAACTTCTTTCTAATAATATATTAATTCTATCTTGTAAAAATTCTTAAATAACTTTTATTCTATTTATATAGATAATATTCTTATTTATTCTTCGGATTTCAAAGAAAACTACGAAAAAAAGGTTGTACAAATCTTAAAAAGATTTAAAAAGTATAGCGTACACCTAAACCTAAACAAATACGAATTTTTAATTAAAAAGGTCAAATATTTTAAATTTATTATTTATATAGGTATAAACGTATAAGTAAACCCTAATAAGATTAAAATAATTTTAAAATAGTTCGCTCCTACCTTATAAAAAATATACGTAGCTTCTTCAATTTTATAAATTATTACCAAATATTTATTTTATCATTTTCGAAAGTAATTATATTCTTAATAGTATTTACAAATAAGGACATCGCTTTTAAATAAATACAAAACTACCATTTAACTTTTTAAATATTTACACGCCTTTTTACTCGCGCGCTTATTTTTATAGAATTTAACCCCGACTGTAAAACCTTCCTAAAAACTAATTATAACGGTTACGCTTTAAATAAAATTATTATTTTAAAAAAAAAAGATAATACCTATTGCGTTATAAATTTCTACTTTCGGAATTTCTCTATAATTAAATGTAATTACCGTATGTATAATAAAGAAATATTAATAATTATTTTTTACTTCGAAGAATAATCTATAGAATTCTATAATTATAAAGCCTTTACCGTACTAACCGACTACTATAACTTAAAATATTTTATAGAACGCTATTGGCTCTCCGAATAATAAACTTATTAGGCGGAATACCTCTCCCACTTTAATTTCGACTTTATTTACTGCCTAAATAAAAACGCCGTAATCCCTAACGCCCTTTCCCGCCGAAATTAAAACTAACCGTTTAAAAAAAACTTCGAAACCCGGAATATATAATTTATTGCCTAAATAATATTATAAAAATACGTAAAAATTTTTACCTCCTCTATCTCCTCGGCGAAAAACGTACAAGTTTTTAAAAATCCGGATTTATAGCAACTTTAAGATTAAGTAATCTATAGAGACTCTACGTATTAAACTATCCTACGCGCAATTAAAAAAAACTGCCGCTCCTTCGAACCCCTTGGCTGGCGCCCTACGAAAGCTCCATACAGTCCCCCAACGGTCTCTGGACGGTCAAAATGCACCTTCCCGTTTAGGACTACAAAACCGTTAACCAACCGTAAAAGACCTCCCATTAGGGTAGGCACAACCCCCTCTCCTAAGTAGTCCCAAGTAATCGCTTATAGAACCGTCGCTCGTATTAAGAAGTCGCAATCAATCCGTACAACACGTCGTATATACGTCGTATACACCTTATAGTCGTGCCCCAGGAAGTACGAATTGAACCAATACATACATTTACTACCTGCGCTATATATTGTGCCTGCCGCCCACCCTGCCGCCCACCCTACTACCCACCCAACGCACCGCACGATCCACCCCCGAACCCGGGTCGCTACCGGCGCCCGGCGCTACGCGCCGGCCTAACTACGCTATATCGCGCGGCGGCTTCGTAAAGTACTATGTACAAGTAAGGAACAATATTATTAATATTTACGCAAGCTAGTTATTATTAATTATTAATATAATCAATCGGTACGGTACAATATATTATATCGCATTATCGGTACTATAGGAACGAATAGAAGTAAAATAATCACGACTATACAAGACGAACCATTACAATTAGTAACTATTGCAATTAATAGTATTTAGAATAAGCGTTAACTTCGGGGTACGGGGGTACGGATATAAAATAATTATTAGGCATTAAACGAAACGAAAGGAAGCGATAGGGGAAGAGCCGGAAAAAATAAGGCCGTATATTAAAGCGTTACGAAGCGTTATACTTACTAAGCAAATTATAAATCTTTATAAACCATTATATATATTAAAACTTTGGCTAATATTTACAAATTATTAAAAATATAATTAATAGACATTATGTTGGAAGTCCGTGCCCTGGGCCGCCCATTCACCGGCTTTGCCCATTCACTGGGCCGTTCCATTACCGGCACTCCCTTCCAGGTATTTAGGCTGCCCTGGTTTCCGTTTCTCCTCTTCCGTTAGACAACTACAATCAAGCCCTTTTCGTTGTCGCCTTCCAGCCTCCATCAAAACCGTTCTTTCCTCAAATGACCCGATTGACCGTTGTGCGACGGTTGACATCTGGGAACCGTCTAAAGACCGTGGTGAGACGGTACCTTGTCTTCTATATACCGCTAGCTAAGCCTTTCTCTAATTAAAAATATAAATCGCTAATTATTCCGTAAATAAACTAAGGTACTTACGCTATAAAGGGTAATTCTAAATCCCGGGAACCCCAACCTCTTTAAAGGCTATAATACTAATAATAACCGAATAGAACTAATAATTTAACGCACTACGTATAACCTTAATCTAACAAGTATATAAAACCTTAATATTCAATTACCCTAAAAAAGAAGGGATAATTTTTACCCTTATCAAGGAATATTATTAATTACTCCTCAAATCCTATATGTAGCGCTTTCTACGCAACTATTATATTTATAACTCTATAAAAACTTATAGAAAAATAAAAAAGGGTCTTATAAATACTGCTTCTCAACGAGATCAAAAAGGAGAAGGTACAACAGGCGCCGCAGAAGTCCTGGGCCATGGTAGCAGCTCTTCCATCATGGGGCTGCTCCTTTGAACGAGCCCGGGAGATCTATACGAAGGTGATTCGAAGCGCAATAGCCTACGGCGCATCGGCATATCATCGACCGACGGAGCTATACGGGAAAGCCCGGGGAATTGCAACCCAGCTGGCGAAACATCAGACCAAATGCCTAAGGGTAATGGCGGGGGCATACAAAGCGACCCCGATAAGAAACTTGGAAACCGAAACGTACTGCCCGCCGATCGACCTTTACCTAAATAAACGGGTAAGAGCCTTCGAAGAAAGAATTGCTCGGACGGACCAAGCAGAGTTCGTTAGGGGGACGGCTGCATGGGTAGCCGGTTGCATCCAGGAGAGGTCCCGACGACGGACTTCCCCTCCCAACACCTGGCAAGATGGATCGGAGAACGCACAGGTCACTGGGACTTCCACTCCTACCACGACCGCTTCAACCATCCTCCAGAGACCTTCCGATACTGCATGTGCGGAGCGCCCCGCGAGAAGGGACACTTCTTCGTCTGCCCACTAGTCACATACCGCAACCCGAACGCGGCAGAGGACACGCCGAAAGCTTTCGGCACCAGCTACGCCACATTTCTCGCAAGAGTACAGGCCCTCAAAGACGAGGGATACACACACATCCAGGTGCTACGAGGTGGAGGATATCAGGGGATGAGGATAGCCAGAGCGGGGACCCCCGACCCAGACGACGAACCACTGCCCTTCGCGGAGGTACACGCCCTGCCGGGATCAGGGGGCCTGGAATGAAACAGTGGGGCCAAGACCACACAAGAAAGAATAGGGTTTTTCCAGCCCACGGCCACGCTAGGGTCCGACCTAGCTGACCTAGGAGGCTTTTTCCCCGCAATCATGTACCTATGCCCAGCCGCCGTCGCGGGCACGACTTATTATCTAGTATTGGTAGAACGTAGTCGCAAAATTCATTCTTCTTCTTCTTCTTCTTCCCCTCCCAAAGACCTACCGGAAAGCGGAGCGGCCAAAGCCCAATGGGCCGAGAGATGGGCGCCCACCGCCAACCTAATAGGGGAAACAACGCCGCAAGACGCGCCACACGATACGCAACAGGGCACGCCGTATCAGGAAGAGCCATCGGCCAAAGATAGGGAGCGGTGGTTAGAGAAAGCAACAAGGAGGGAATGGATAGCAAGGTGGGAGATGCAGACAGCGGCGGCAGTCTCCAAGTCGGGAAGACGCTACCAGTTGACGATCGCTGACCTATACCCAAAGTTCGACGGGACTTCGATAAGGAGACATATGGTCGGCTCCAGAGAGAAAAGGAGGCGCGGAGAGGCTGAGGGCGAAGACCCTCGCCCCCTCTCTAAAGCCAAAAGCTCACTCCTCATCCAAGCGCGGACAGAAGTAATCGGGCTCCGGTCCTTCCTATTTAAAAGGAAGGTCCCCGATATCGAAACACCGTACTGCTCTTGCGGGACGGGCAAGGAGACCTTTGCATACTTGGTTTACGACTGTCTATGGACATTCAACCAGCGAATAAGGGAAGAAGAGTGGCCGCACAGCCAAGAGCAACTGGCTGTATACTTGGACGACGGAGAGCAGGCCGACCGCCTCCTCGGTTGGGTATTGAGATTGGGACGGCTCCGAGAGTACCGTCTAGCAGTTGAGTTGGAGGAGGAAGGAGTCGGCGAAGCCGACCCTCAGGGATAACACATCAGTCGATGGTAAGATATCGGCGATGCGTTAACGTCATTATTCACCGAGCGGTGGGTGAGCACCGCTACGGTAGGAAACGCAGGTGCCGGCCTCGCGGTCGGGCAAGGGGCGGTGGTTTGTATCCGGCAGACGGAAGTATGTACGGTTTTCCCTCCGAAACTAGGTGAAGGACCCCATGCTCATCGGGCGCTTAGTATATAGTTACTAGCATAGGGAATAAGACTACTATCACTGTCTATTACTAGTATAAATAAAAGTTATTGCATTTTTAAAAGGAAAAATCTTTATTATAGTTATTAATACAACGCCTTTCTTTTATTAATTCAACGTATAGTAGGAATATAAAGATAAGCTAACCTTAATTAACCTACGAGGCTTAAAGTAGCTTAGCGTCGCCCTAATAGGATATTATCATTTCCCAATATATATATAGAAATTCATAAATTGATTATTAACCGCATTTACCCACTTTTACCAAACGTTTATCAACAATATTATTATTTTCTCGGATACGCTTAAGGACTACATTAAACATCTAACTCAAATCTTTCAATTTTTTATATTTCGCAATATTACCCTTCCCCAAACAAAGTCTTACTTTATTTACCCGAACATCAAATTTTTAACGTTCTACATCGATATATTAGGACTATTAATAACCGCCGAAAAGATTAAAAAATTTGAATAATTAACTTTCCTAAACTAACTTAAAGTATTAGAAATATACATTAGCGGATTTAAATTCCTTCGGCACTTTATCCTATACTATAATAAATTTATTAAACCGATATAAAGGAGGAAAATTAACTTACTTACCGAAGGAAGGAAATCTAGAACTATTATAGTTAAAAACCTATTAAAAGGATCTTACTACTATATAAAAACCAAATATAAGCCTACTAAGAAAGAAAAGCTAGTATTCGACGCAATATAGTTAATTATTTATAATAACCCGGAATCTCTATTTTACCCTAATCTCGATAGATAATTATTTCTACAAATTAATAGCTCGCTCGAAAGAAGATATAGTATTATACTATTTTATATTAAGAAAGGATTTAAATAATTTCTAAGAGTAATAATACCGGCTAACTAAATATTACCGATTATATTTCCAAGTAAAGCTCTTACTAAAGTAGAAACATAGTATAGACCTTCCGAATTAAAAATTACATACTTCGTTTAAATAATTAAATAACTGCAAATTATTATTTACTTGTTTAATTACCCTATCGTCGTCCTTACCGACTATTTAGTGATAAAGGGTATTGTTAAATAAATTACTTTAAATACCTTATTAACGGATAGAGGCAATACAAGGCTAATTAATATTTTTATTTACCTCTCCTAATACAATTTTATAATATATTATATTACCGGAAAGTTTAATTTCATCCCGAATATATTAAATAAATTAATTACCACGAATAACCAACGTTCGGATTAGGACCCTATATTAGATTAGATTTAATTTATTAATACGGAGGTATAAATAAACCCGAAATTAAAAAAGAAATCTATTACATTATATACAACGGATTCGAAATTTAATAATATTATAATCGAATTAAAAGCCCATCCTAAAGCTATCGAGGACGACGGCAAATTTTCGTATACCGAATACCCCTCCGAAATTATTAATAAATTCCTATACAACGTCTATAAAAATAAATTAAAAAAGCTTTACATCCTTAAAGATATAGTTAATATTATTCTTAAAAAAGCTCGCGAAACGTTAAAACGCGGGTTCTTAGTCGACGACGTAAGCAAAACTATTTTTAATATTAGAATCGTATTTAAGACGTCCGATTACCCCTATCTACGATATCGTATTAATTGCGTATTGAAAACGCGGGTGTCGTAGCGGTTAGGAACGACGGCGGCGGTTTAGTAGCGAACCGATATACGTCCGGAAACCCGCGACCGGAATACCGACGACGACGATAACGGTTAATAGCGCCGAACCCGAAACTTCTGTAGCCCTAAAACCCCCTTAGGAAAATATAAAGAAGTTCCTTCTAAAAATTATAAATTTCCCTAATATTAATAACCTATTTGATATTTATATAACGTAAATGAAAAGACTTTTCAATATTACTAAAGGATATTTTATATACGTAAAATTAAACGCTTTAATTTTATAATATTGTTACCGAGTAGTTTAAAAATAGTATAAAAGAATTAAAGAAAATAATCGCCGATATTACGAAAAAGTAAATGACCCCCCCGAAACTTTAGGCCGCTATAATTACGGATTTAAATATTTAACCGACGGGCTTAAAAAATCTTACTTTACCCTAAGAGGTATTCAAACTTTTATCCCCCTTTAAACCGAATAATATTTAATAATTAAATTAAATAATATACCGCTCTTTATAAAGTAATAAAAGCGTATAATAAATAACGTTGTATAAATAATTAATTAAAAATATTTAAAGGCCGAAGTTAAAGCTATTACGAAACTATATTTTAACGGAAACTATATTATTATATTCGGAGAAGAAGGGAAGAAATAGTATTTAAAAAATTAAATTTAAATAATATATAGTTTCTATAAAGATGTAATAATTATATTCCGTATAATTTTAATAATAGTTCCTAATATATTATAAATTCTTATTAATAATTTCGAATTAGAGAAATTAATTAGGGAAATATCCGAAGTAAATAAAATTAAAATCGTGAAAGTAAAAATATTCTAAAGGAAATACGGGAGCGAAAGGGGTTCTCTCCTTTTAAAAACTATTATTATAAATAATAGGGTTTATTTTATTAAAGATTCCCTCCTCTAAATAAATCATATGTTCCATTATAAACCTTTTAAACGTAATATAATCTTTTAATAATATTATAATTATTAGAAATTCATTTATTTATATAATTATTACCCTATGGAGAAAAATATATAGTACTTTCGCTATACCGAAAAGAAATATCCGAATAAAATAATAAAAGATAGAAAAATTAATTACCCCTCCAATTAATAACCTAACTTTATAAAATACCTCCTTTATAACTATAAAGAATATTTCGTATTCTCTCGCAATTATCCGCTTATAAAAACGGCGTTCGGTCGCTCCTCTATAATATTTATAGAATGCCTATATATATTCTCCTAACGGACAAAATTAATTATAATCGACGAAACGCCGGCCTCCAACTAATCTAAAACTACTTAACCGGCCGATAAAATTATATAATAAGAACTCTTTTAATAGACGCAAACTACGACAATATAAGGACTTAAAAAAACAACCCCCCTATAACGCCTATTTAATTATAACTTATACCTACTAACGAAAATAGCGACTTAGAAATCCTAGATATAGATTTAGAAATTCTAAAATCCGAATAGCAATAAATAATAACTAATACAAAAAGCGGCCCTTACACGAAAATATAGAAAGAATTCCGCGCTAAATTAAATATAATTAAAGTGAAGTATTAAAAGAGAATGCTTAAAATATTAAATATTATTATTAAATCGAACCCTCGACTATATTAAAAGAATAATACTTAAACGTCTACTATATAAATTTAAAAATTCTATACTAGAACGTAACGAAATTATATAATAAAATAAAACTTACGTTAGAAATAAAAGACTACTATAATATTATAGCGTTCTAAGAACTAAACCGAAGTGTAATTATAAATAATGTCCTTAATATTAAAGCTTCTCGTTATTAAATATTAAATAATATTAATTAAAGATATATAATACTATATATAAATAAATATTTTGTAATCGATCGATAAAATTATAAATAGGGAAAGGATTAAGTAATATTAAAAATTGGGGAAGTGGAAAACGAAATAAGGGTAAAATTAATCTATTCGTTAATTTAGGATTCGGGTCCTAAATATAAATAATATACCCCCCTTAAAGAAATTATATCGAAACCGAAAGGAAGAAATATTATGATAGGGGATATAAGCCTCTATCACCCAATATAAAATATTTATAAAAGACGAATAGGGGTAATTATATCCTCTTTTTATTAATAACGAATTATTAATTTATACTAATAACGCTATAAAGCGAACCGAGATAATTAAAGAACGAAATACAGTAAGAATTTAATAGTACTATCGACTACGCTTAAATAATAGAAATATTATATACTACGTACTAAACGGTAGAGGACGAAATCCTTACCGGATCGGACTACTAAATTTAATTAATTCTAATTTATATTAAAATTACTAAAGAGCCGGAGAATACTAAAAAGAATTAGTTAGGTACTTATAAATACTAAAGAAATTGAAGGCTTCATTAAAAAAATATATTATAATCCTATGGGCGATTATTATAATCGCTAAATTAAAAACCGCAACCGAATAATTAAGAGAAGAATTAATTAAAATTACCGACGAAGGGGTCCCGAAACGGAAAAGGGGAAGGAGTAAATATATTAACTAATAAGATTTAAATGTAAAAAGAATATTAAATATATAAGACGGATAGCAAAGGTTTAAAAATGAAAGAGGATACTAATAAAAAGATAAAAATTAGAAGAAGTGAAATAAAAATAAACCGAAATTATTTAATTCGTATAAATAAAATAATAACGTACCTTTATAAAAAAATATATTAATAAATTCGAAGAAATTTTAAACGCTTAAACGATAAAATGAAACGTAAAGCTATTTACTTTTTAACCCCCCTAAAATCCTAACGCTATATTAAGAAAGAAATATTAAAAAAATTGGAATTATAAAAATAAAACGGAAATCCTAGCGGAAAGATTCTTCCTTAGGGTAGAAGTACTAATAAATTATTCATTAAATTAAAGAAGGAAACGAGAATTTAAATTACTAATAAATTATAAAATTAGTGCGGACGAAGTAATATAAATACTACGCCGTATAGCCCCTAATAAAGCCTTAAAAACGATTAACATTCTAATAAATTTTTAAAATATACGGGAAACGACTAGCGGAAGTACTAATTATAATTATTATTATAGGTTTTACCTTCGGTTCGTTCCTAATATAATAGCGTTATATAAAAATAATAATATTAAAAAATCTTGGAAAGATAGCGGTATAAAAGAAGATAATAAAAATATAATACCCTATTATATTCCTAAATTACGTAGAAAAGATATTAGAAGCAATAATCATAAAACGGATCGCCCTTATAGTAGAAGAATATAAACTCTTACTAAAGGGCCAAATAAGGAATAAAAAAAGGAAATCGATAAAACTTGCAATTAGAATAATAATAGAAATAGTATATATAACGTAAGAATTAAGGGCAATAATTTCGCTACTACTACTTAAATTTTAAAGGGGCGTTGAATTAAATTAATGATAAATAATTCTTCTATATTTTATAAAAAAAGGGGCTTCTATACTAATTACTCTATTAGGTCGAAAATTTCTTAATGAACTTGAGGGGAAATTTATTCTTCAACGGAAAATTATTTTAGAAATTTCAAATACCATTAAGAATACCGTAAAATCCCCCCCTCTCGCCTATCTTCTTTCTAATCTTCATTACTATTTTATATAAAGTATTAAAGGAACTAAAGAGGATAGTAATAATAGAATTCGTAAATAATACTAATATCTAAGCCTTTTCGAAATCGACGGAAAAAAATTACGATATATTAAAATAAATTTAATAAATCTACTATAATTAGGCGGAAAAATATTGAATAGAATTTAAAGCTAATAAATCCGAACTTATTTATTTTATTAAAACAAAGTAATTACGAACCGAAATTATCGATTTTAAAAGGTATTAATTAGCCCATACGAAATTAGTATAATTCCTAAAAATATAATTAAACCGCAAATTAATTTACTAAATATACTTTTAAGTAATAAAAAAGAAAATATCGATATAAATCTTCATACTTATATATATTATAGTAAAGCCGTAGGGCTATAACTTCGTGTAAACGAAGGAAATATATATAAAGGCGATTCGTATAACAATAACTTATAGAACGTTAACGTACTATATACTAACGGAACTATTTAAAGAATTATACAATTTTATAAAAATTCTTATCATAACTTAAACTAATTACCTTAAAGTAATTTCTAATACCTATAAAGTAATGTCTATATTTAATATTAAAACGGAAAACTTCTACCTACCCTTTAACCTTTACATTAATAAGAAAATTAAAATATTTAAAAACCGGCTTACCTATTTACTAATAACGGCCTTCGTTAAAAAGACGTTAATTTAAATAATAGCGGAATTATAAGGCGGAAGGAGAAGTAAATAACTGTAATTACCCCCGGTCAATAGCTAAGTAAAAATTAAATAGGTTAAATAATAACCCCCGAATAAAAATATCTTAATACTATAAAGAAAAGTAAAAAACCCACACCGGATAAAAAAGAAAAATAATTAAAGGAAGCAATTCGAAGGGAATAAATTACGAAATAATATATTAAAATAGCCGAAATAATAAAGAAAAAGAAATTAAATACCGCAGAAGCGTATACGCAATTCAGTAAAACTATATTATAATACTATACTTGACCTAATATAAAATTTCGAAAACTATAAACTCGCTCCGAATACAAATTAGGATAAGCAAAATAAATTTATAAATATTCTTATTCAAAAGAAGGGTACTAAAAATAATAATACCCTACAACCGGTATAAATTAACCAAAGAAATATTCGAATATAAAGAAATAGAAAATATATAATTATAAACAAATTTGATTTAATTATAAAATATCGAATAATTTAATAATAAATTCGAAATTGTAAAAGGAACGGAACGGATTCTTTACTATACTTTATGTTTAAATTAATTATCAAAATACAAGCTAGTAATAAAAATAGAATACGTAAAAAAAACGGAGGATTTATTAAAGAATTTAAATTAATTTTTAATTTTAAAGCGCGGAAGTATATTTATAATACCCCTAAATTAATTACCCGGATACGAAGAAATCCAACGACGGCACTGATACAATACTAAACGACGCTGATAAATTACCGATTGAAATTAAATCTAATTAGTAAAAACTAAATAATAATTATAATTAAAAAATATTATAAAACCGAAATGAAACTAAATTGCTAACGTAGAGGGAATAAACGTTATTTACTAATTATTTAGGGAGAAAACTATGATAAATCTTATAAAAGTCTAATTCGGAAATGGGGTCGCTCTTATAATTACTTTCAAATTTATAATCGACCTCCTCCTCAATATTATTATCTTTAATAATATCGTTATCGAAAGTAACCTACTTCGGCAAACTTTTATGCCCAATTTACCTACCTCTAATAACCGGAATAGAACCGAAAATATATTTATTAAATAATAATTTAAAAACCTTAAAGTAAATAACGTAGATAATAGCCTTAATATTAGCGATTTCTTTAAAAATTAGCAAAGAAATTAAAACGGAAATTATATAGGGTACTTATATAGTTAGAAGAATCCTCGAAACTAATTACAATATAACGAATAATAATAATACCCTCTTCGACAACGTTAACGCAATCCGCTATATCGTTAATACAATCCTTAACGACCAAAATAAAACTATTAATCTTATTAAAAACAGCCTTAAAGGCCTTACTAACCTTATCGGCAAAAATACGTAATAAAATAATATTATAACGAATAGTAATAAAGTCCGAAATATTACCGGGGGCGGCGCCGCTATCGTTTATCTTCCTTTTCTTAGGAGAAAAATAAATATCGGAAGATAAGATTGCAACGGGAGCGTTACTATTACTGTTAAATTTATTACTATTATTTTAAAAGGTAATAATTATATTTTAAATAATAGAAATAACCTATAAATTACTAATAAAAATTTAATATTCGGGAAATGTAAGTTCGAAATTAGTATTGTAAAAAACCTTAATAATTTAAACAAAATTATAACCGAATTCGAAATAACGCCCCTTCGAATACTTTTTAAGCTTTTTACCTGATTTATATTTATAATAAAGGCTTTTAATCTTAACTTAAAAATTAATAATAATAATAAGAAGGAATAAAGGAAAAGTTTATAAGGATTCGAAAAATAACGAACATTATTAAAGCCGCTATAGAAGCACTTATAAAAAAAACAACGCGAAGGACTATACAATATAAACCGCAAATATATAAAATATACTAAATGTTATTATTAAAGACCTAATAATAGGCTATAAAATAATATTCTTTTCCCGCTCCTTCGCCTTCTATTTATCCTAAAATTATTAACGAAGGGCCTTAATAATCTTCTCAAATACAATACTATAACGGGGAATATTAAAAGATATAGTAGTAAGAATAACGGCCTTAAAATCTTTAAAATCCTTAAAATCTTTAACCGACTTATCCTTATCGGGTTTATTAAACTTACCCAGGGCCTTAATTTAAACTTTATTAAAAGGAACTATAGTAGTACCGGGTCAGAACCGAAAAGGAAATATAGGCAGCGTAATATTGGGGTAGGGATAATAAATTAGGAAGTAAGTAAAATAAAGAATATAAAAGGGAAAAAGAGGAAAGAAGGGAAAGAACGAAGGAAAAATTACCTTATTAATTGGAAGGTAGGTTATTATAACGTATTTATTATAAAAAATAAAATAAAAGGGCGGGGTAGAAAAAAACTAAAAAAATAACGATATAGTTAGCGATTAATTAAATTTGGTAGAAGGAACGGAGGGGGAATAGGACGGGGGTGAGGCCGGAAGGACTATGTACCCGAATTAAAAATTACGCTTTGGGAATAATAGTAAGGTTATTGTAACGGCGCTAGCAGACTGGGTCTGGGTGCTATGTACGAGGTAGTTTATAAGGCTATTGGAATGAGGTATATAGAAGTAGTCTCTTATAATAGTCGTACTCCGATGTCAACTCCCATCTACTCCGCCGCTACACGTAGCGCAATCTCTTTGTACCCTATAGGTCCAAATAGTATAATATTAGGATTACGTTTGTATATAGCTTGAACGAAATCGGCCAATATATATAAGGAATATTCAATCTCTACGCAAATACTCGAACATTAGACCACTACAAAAATTTCAAACTTAATTAAATAAAGTGTCCGAAGATAGTACGAATAGTAAGTCCATCTCTATATACTTTTTTTTCGTATTTCTATAAGGCTTTTATTATTTACTAATACTATAGGAGTAACTTTTATTGTACGTAAAATTGTATTTAGAAAAATTATATACTTTATTTCTATAACTTAACGTCGTATGGACGCAAAGATTTATATATATAATAAACGATTATAAATTTAATACCGATAAGGTTATAGAATTAATTCGTTATATTACTAATTTTCGGCAGCCCAATACGTTTATACTTCCTAACCCGGCTTTCTAAGATTAGATTACCGAAGTATTACACTATACAATATTTACCGACATTAAAGATATACAATATTACTTTATTAATACGGTCGCTATTTGTCTACTAAATTAAGGGTTACTCATAGATTTAGACTAACGCCGCCTAAAACTTAGTCAAATTAAATCTATTTATTATATTATTTACCAATAAAGCAATATAATTTTGATTACCCGTACGGGCTATAATAAAAATATTATTTTCTAAATAATATTCATTATTTTAATCGGTAAAGTCACTATTCAAATTATACTACTTAATCGGTTTAGCAAGGAGTAGTAGGATACTATTATTAAATTTCTTAGTATTCGACCCATTTTAATCGACCAATTAATTATAAAAGTATAGTCTCTAACCTCATCTATTTCTTATAGGGGCAGCCAAGATTCGCCCCCCCCCCCTATAGGATTTAAATATACTCTATAGCTAATTTAATAGTAGTATCTTTACTTCTAGTCAGATTTAGAAATTAAAAACTATATATATATCCTCCTCAGTCTAGAATAAGCTGCCTATATAAAATTTATAGAATTAATACGTACAATGGTATTTAATTAGCGGATTGTATTTATCGCTATAAATGAATTATATACTATATTTTAATAGTATACGTTTCGAAGATAATTTATAAACGTTTATACTATTAGGACTACTATTTTATTTAATATTCCTTAGTTTAAATATATGGCTACCCTTATTTATAAAATATAGTTATATATATATAAATACGGCGGTTTCCGCCCAAAGGGTTATATTATAATTTAAGTAAACTCTTTATTATTTATATTTTTATCGACCGATTCAATATTACGATAGTACCACAACCAATTATATTAAATGCATTCAAAAATTACCGACAGCTCGAATTCGTCTTCGGCGTATTAACGCCTAACGACCTCCGGCCCAA